TCAGAGGAAAGGGACAAGATGGGGAACAGCATTCTAGGGGAGGTGTCGGCAAGGTCAGAGGCCCCAAGTAGGGACAGACTCGGCTTTCTCTGGTGTGGCAGGCACACAGTGCTCTCGTTAGAAGTGAAGTTCCGCGGGTGCCTGGAGGCCATCCATGGTGAGGGGGCTGGGCTTTCCTGGGGGCAGCAGCAGGTTACTGGAGGGTTTCCGGACCACTCCGAGGGCCCTTGCATTTCAGCCTTTGGACAGCTCCCTGGGCTGGAAGGAAGGAAAGCGCCATCAGCTTGCAGAGTCAGTGCTGGTGCTGGTGCTGGTGAGCAGGAGGTCTGGGCTGTAGTCTGCAGCCTGGGGTGGGCGGGGGCACCTGTGCCCAGGGCAGAGCCTCTTCAGGTCAGGCCCAGGGCCAGGCACCTGCCTCTTCGGATGTCCTGGTGGGTCTGTTCCGGGACAGCCTACAGCCTGGGACACGTACAAGCCCAAGTGGGGAGCCTCGGACAGCAGTCTAGGCGCAGGCTTTGGGGTCGGAGAGACTCAGGGTCCACCCAGGCTAGCTGTGTGAATGTGGCTGCTAGTGGAGCCATCGGTCCATCTTGCCTGTTCTTGTCCCTTTCAAGCCAAAGAATGTTAACAGCTGGAAGAAGTCTTAGAGTGCTCCTCCAGCCCACCTCCCACTTTTAGGTGGGGAAACGGAGGCCCAGAGAGTGCAGGGGGCTGGCCTTGGTCCACCAGATGGTCAGGTTCAGAATGGGGACCTGTTGGTCTTCTGACTTTTATCTTCTTTGGGCCGTACCATGATGCTTCCTGATTTCTTTGTGTGTGTGGTGAATTCCTGAGATTTCTGGTGGGTCTGGGAAACTGGTGGTGGGCAGGAGATGCATGAGGAGTGTTTGTGTCGATGTGAATTTATTCAGCATCTGCTGGCTTCCTGTTCCATAGACCTTGATGATCTCCCCCCACCCCCCAATCCCCGGCACTGACCTAAGCATCTTCCCCAAATCTGCTCCCCTTCCCACTGTCCATCAGTGATGGCCTGAGCACCCACCCATCCACCCTGCTCAGCTGCCTGCTTGCAAGTCCACCAAAGTCCTCAACATTCTCACTCAAACTCATACTCTCATCTGCATCCTCATGGCCCCATTCTCTCCTGTTGTCTAGACCACTGTCCCAGCCTCTCCTCTGGTCATCTTCTTCAGCTTCTACCCACCAGCCTGGTCTCACACCAGTCCCCAGTGGACCTCACTTACACAGACTCTTCCTGCTCAGAATCTTTCCACCTACAACATCAAATCCAGCCTCATCTATGTCTTGGGATTCATCTTTGACTAGCATTTATTGCATACTTTCTGATTCAGTTATGGAATATCAGAAAACTTCCATCAAATCCAGTCTTCCCCTTGGACTATGAACTCCCTGAGGGCAGATTTCAGATCTAGTTCTCTTCTAGGTCCTCAGCCCCCAGCTCACAGCTTGGCTGTAAGGGACATGTAGGAAAATTTGCGGGCTTCCCAGGTGGCACAGTGGTAAAGAATCTACCTTCCAATGCCTGAGACATGGGTTCGATCCCTGGGTTGGGAAGATCCCCTGGAGAAGGAAATGGCAATCCACTCCAGTATTCTTGCCTGGAAAATTCCATGGACAGAGGAACCTGGAGGGCCATGGGGTCACAGAAAGACTTGGACACGACTTAGAATTAAATAACATCAAACAAACATCACTGATTATACTGCAGGTAAATGGTCTCAGTCTGTGGTTGGCAAACTATGGCCCACAGTCCAGATCTGACTTACTGTCTGTTTCTGTGCATCTCTGAGGGCATGGCTGAGGATGAAGGAGGTGTGTAAACAGGAAACGAAAGCTTGAGCCTGGAAGTCAGGAAGAGGTGGACAGGCAGTGCCTGGGGAGGGGGGGTTTGATTCCAGAGTATTGGAGGCCTTACTGGGAGGATTGCACGACCCTGCAGCAGGACCAGCCAGACATACTTTGGTCTGTGTTTGTCTGCCACCCCTCATCCTGCTTTCCTCTGTGTCTGGGTCCCTAAGTCAGCTTTCCCTGACTGTTCCCCCACCCTGACCCGCCTCACCATGCAGAGGCCGCCCTCCTTGGGCTCTGCTGAAGGCAGAACGCTGAGATGCAAAGAGAGGTTAATGTCGATGAATCTCAGACCTGAGCTCACCTTCTGACTTGGCTGTTAACTCATAGGCAACCCGGTCTCCTTGTCTCCTGCCAGCCTGGGGCCCTCTCTGAGCTCCTACATGCTAGAGCCCCAGAAATGAGGCAGCACTTCAGGGAAACCCTGCTCGGGTCCCCACACAGAGCAGGGACATGGATGGGGGACCCCACACAGAGCAGGGACACAGGCGGGGGCTGAGCGAAGAGGTCGCAAGACACAGCGGGATGCGGAAAGAGGCTGGGGAGCCAAGCCACAGAGAGGGTCCCCAGGGGCGGCCAAGAGGAAGAGGCCATGGTTGGGGGCCCTGAGGGGTGAAGAATCTCGCTCTGCTGTCCCTGGTGGGCTGGCTGCTCCCCCCATCACTCCCCGCCGGGCCCCCAGGGGACCTCGCTCTAATAATGTATTTGATCGACTCGCCGGCCGCGTACAAGCGATTATTGTCTTGTCGGGAGTCAAACGTATCGATCCGGTGAGAAATATGAGCGGAGCAATGGGGCCCGCGTGTCAGTTACCAGCCCCGCTGGCCCTGGGGAGCCCCCTGCGTCTCCTTTAATTACCGCTCAGCCCTGAGCCCAGCCTGGTCTCCCCTGCGCCTCCTCCCTCCCAGGCTCCCTGCACCCTCAGCGGCCCCCACTGCTCCCCAGCTCCCAGGCCCTACCTGCCTGGCTCAGCTTGGTCTGAGGCCTCTTCTCCAGCTAAGCGGCCACGATCTCCCATGCCTGGGCCTCCCTGTTCCTGGCTGCCAGGCCCTGCCCACCCAGCATGCCCCTAATTCAGCCCCTTTGTCCTCTCCTGGGCAGGTGGAAGTCTCAGGCCCATTCTTCTTTAAGATGCCTCGATTCTAGCTCAGGGACTCAATTCTGGCCTGCCAGAGGCGATAATAGTGGAGTCAGTTTGAGAGGCAAGAGGTGTGGGGTGATTTCACTCACCACGGGTAGGTGGGCATGAAAGGCTGTCGCCAGCTCCACCTCTCAGCCGCAGGCCTGGGAGGGCAGCACCGGAAATGGGGGTGCATATCTCCCTGCTCTGAGTTACCACCCGGAGCTCCCTCTTGACAAGGATGCTGTTGACTGTGGAGCATGGGGGGTGTTTTGGTGAGGTTTTGCTCCCTCTATAAAGTCCTTATTTCTCTCATTTCCAAGTCTTCCAAAACATAAATCCTAAGTAAAAAGAGTTTAGTGGGCAAATGCAGCTTCAAGACAAGGCTCCAGTGCCATCATCCACCAGATGCCTGACCCGCCTGTAGAGAAATCCTGCCATCTGAGAGAGAGAGAGAGGTAAAGAGGTGGGCCCGGAGGCAGGAGGTCTGAGGTGAAGCCAGCGGATGCTGCAGGGTCTCCTAATCTGCTCAGAGGAATGGCCTTCACAATACGGAATGTTATGAGTGTAGTTGGTGGGGCCACTGTCCCCTCTGTGCAGATGTAAGGACCACCATCATTCTCCTGGAGTGGGCCTGCCTGCCTGGGCGTGTCTGGGCCGCACAGGGCCTGTGTACAGGCAGAAAGGCACTCTTGAAGGTCTGCCTGTGTGTCGTAACCTGCGTGAGTGTGCTTGGGTGTGAACGTGGGCATACACGGATGGGAAGTATGCCTAGGTACACTTGTATAGACGTGCCCCTGTGCCTGCATGACAGAGCAGAGGGTTCTGTGCACACGCGGGTAGTGTTAGTAGGGAGCGTTGTCAGGGCCTGGGCACCAAGGAGTGTTTCCATGTGTCTGGATGTGCACACGTGTGTGTGATGTGCTGGGGTCCCTGTGTAGAAACACTTGAGTGTGTGTATATGAGTCCAGCCGTCCGTGTGCGCGCGCGTGCTCTGGCGGGGTGCGGGGGTGTCCCTCAGCGTAGGGGCACAGCGAGTCCCGCAGGGCCCGGAGCGAGCAGGTGGGCTGTTTGGAGGCACAAGGCGGCCCGGCAGCCTCGGACCGCGCGCGGGAAGGAGGAAAAGGGCAGCGGGCTCGGCCGCGCCTTTGTCTGCGCCGCCGCGCGCGGGGAGTCCTGCGCCTTTGTGTGACCCTCGCAGGTGTGCGCGCGGGGGCGGGCGGGGGAAGGGGAGGGGCGGGGGGCGGGGCGCCTCCTCCGCACCGGCCCCGCCCTCTGGCCCATTGGCTGTGCGCTGCCGCCCTCTGGCGGGCAGGGAGGGAAGCGTTGGACCGCGAGCGCCGCACCGCGAAGGGGCCAGTCCGTGGCCCTGGGACCCGGTACTTCCGTCCACCCCAACCATCTCCGGCGCCCGCTTTGCCCCCTGGCGGACCTCCTGCCGCTCCAGGGCAAGGCCCGACCCTGCCGCCAGCCCTACCACTACCCACGGGTACCTCTTCTCCCAGTGGTGGCCGCGGACGCCTCACCTGCGGGCAGAGGCGCGACTGGGTTCCCCGCTGGCCACAGTCTGCGAAAGCTTCCTCCTGCCCTGCTTTTTGGCGTCAACGCTTCTTGCCTCTGAGCCCTTAGAGAGGCCACCTCACTTCTCTGGTCCTCAGTCTTTGTAAAATGGGGGCAAATAGCACCTTCAGAGATGATGCCTGTCAGGTGTGACAGGCAGGGCCTAGCATTGGGAAAGGCCCGCCCCAAACTCCTAGCCAGTGTTTTAGTGTCGGTGTTTTGGGTCCACCTTCTCTCCCAGACCCACAAGCCCTGCTCCAGATGTGCCGGCCGGGTGGAGGCGGCAGAGGGACTGGGGTCACCTCCAGGGGGCATAGCTGCAGAGTCAGTTCTTCCAGCCTCCCTGCGTTGTACCCCCCCAACCCCCACTTCCCCAGCACACACACACATGATTTGGGGTCCGCTGCCGGCTGGGGTGGGCCTTCGGGCACGGGTATTTTCCCTTCCGAAGGGGGCGGACCCTGCGGTTTCCTCCCTGGTGACTTCCGGCTGCGAGGGCTTGGCCCCCAGAGAGGGCGGGGAGATGACACAGTTGTTCCCTAAGCCCTGCGGGGCGGGCAGCATGGTTCACTCCAGCATGGGGGCTCCAGGTAAGGGGCCGGGGCGCACAGGCAGCACCCTGGGGTCGTCCTGGCTGGGCCTGCCCTTCCTCTCCGGCTGCTCCTCTGCTCTCCGACTCTGCCTCAGCAGCTGCCCCTCTCCCCATCCTGCATCCCCACCCGCAGCTCCTCTTTCCTCTCCCCTTTCGCATCAGCCCTGGGGGGCTTCAGACCTCTTCTGCCTTCCTCTGCCGCTCCACGTCCCGAGGGGTCCTGGGGAGGAGGATGGAGCTGGGTGTTGGTCTCCTGCTCAAACAGAGGACCAGTGGGTGGGCAATCTGAGTGATCCTGGGAGAGGACTGCCTGGGGGCTGGACCTCCCAGTGTGTGCGTCTGTGTTCGCGCGTGAAAACAGTGGTTCTGAGCTTTCTATATATGACTGTCAGGTTTGCGTGTGCGAGGGGCTGTGTGTGTGGCACTGTGGGGATAGCCTTGGCAAGGCTCTCTTGATTCACTTCCTCACTTCATTCGCCTCCGATGTCCCCTGCTCGGGTGGCCTCCCCTGCCTTCCCCATCTAAACAGGCGGCACTCTCGAGCCCCTCACCCTGTTCTGTCTTTTCTTCATGGTACTCATCACCCCTGAAAATTTATGAAATGTTTGTGTGTTTATGAACCGCCTCCCCCACCAAGTGTCAGCGGACTGAGACAACATTGTCTGCCAAGAGCTGTACAAAGTGATTTGTACAAAGTGATTTGTACATGTTGACTCATTTGGCATAACGTGTCCATCTCTGCATAATGATGGTTAGCTCTAGGCGGTGCGCATGGGAGAGTTAACTGAGGTAATACAGTAATAGCGGGGCCTAGACCACGGCCAGTGTCCATACTTCAAGGGTGTTTTGTTTGCGGCCCCATAGTTCTGACCGTGGGGATGTGTCCCATTTGTGGGTGTCTGTGGGGCTGACTCTTGGTTTGGCCTGCGTCTGTGTGCATCAGCGTTTGCGGGTGTCCTGTGATCCGTCATCAACACGTACATACGGAGCAGTTCTGTGCTGGATGTTGGAAATACTGCTGAAGAAGGCAGTTCTGGGTCTGTCTTCCTGGAGTGCCCAGTTCCGTAGCGGAGACAGACCTGTCACCAGACATGGGAGGAAGCACAGGCAGAGGGGTGAGAGCTGGGATGCAGGAGGCACAGGGCACTGGGCGAGCCCAGAAGACTTGCCCAGTTCGGCTAATGGGGCATCAGGAAGGACTTCCTGGAGGAGGGCATGTCTGGTCTGAGATGAAGGATGAGTGGGTATGAGTAGGCAAGGGAGGCAAGGAGGGGGCTGAGGTAGAAGGAAGGTTACTTGCAGGATGCTGTGTGATGTGATGATTTACTGAGGTGACTGTGTGTGCAACTATGGATGTGTGTGTGTGTATGTTTGTGCATGTGCACATGTGTGTACAGTGCAGACACAGCGACCCAGGGCATCTGCACAGGATAATGTGTGCATACTATCTCTTCCCTGTCTGGGGAGAATGGCGGCTTTATCAGGCACTGGGTTAGACCCTTTACTTGGCATTTCTCAGAGAATTGCCCTGCCTGGGCTCCCCAGCCTGGATATGAATTAACACATGTGTGGTCTTGAGCAGGTCATGCCTCCTGCTCAGTCTTTGGCTCCACATCTCTGGACGGGGTTCTGGGTTGCACCCCGGCTGTCTCCCAGGAGGAGGGGACTCTGGGAGTGTGAGTAGGTGCACATGTGTGTATGTCTATCTGAGTGACCTGTGTGTGTGTACACATCTCTGTATGTCTGTCTAGTGACTGTGTGTGTGTGTGCATTTGAGTCTACCTTTATGTCTGAGTGACTCTGGGTGTGTGTGTGTGTGTGTGTGCATATCTTGTGTAAGTACATCTTTGTCTATATGAGAGACCCGGATATGTGTGTATATGCACATCTGTATCTCTCTGTGTGTCTGAGAGACTCTGAATGTGTGTGTACCTGTCTGTATGTGTGTCTGAGTGACTCTGGGTGTGTGTGTGTACCTGTTTGTATGTGTGAATGACTCTGGAGGTGTGTGTGTGTACCTGTGTGTGTGTCTGAGTGACTCTGGTGTGTGAGTGTGTACCTGTGTGTGTGTCTGAGTGACTCTGGGTGTGTGTGTACCTGTGTGTGTGTCTGAGTGACTCTGGGTGTGTGTGTGTACCTGTGTGTGTGTCTGAGTGACTCTGGGTGTGTGTGTGTACCTGTGTGTGTGTCTGAGTGACTCTGGGTGTGTGTGTGTACCTGTGTGTCTCAGTGACTCTGGGTGTGTGTGTGTACCTGTGTGTGTGTCTGAGTGACTCTGGGTGTATGTGTGTACCTGTGTGTCTCAGTGACTCTGAGGGTGTGTGTGTGTACCTGTGTGTGTGTCTGAGTGACTCTGGGGGTGTGTGTGTACCTGTGTGTGTGTCTGAGTGACTCTGGGTGTGTGAGTGTGTACCTGTGTGTGTGTCTGAGTGACTCTGGTGTGTGTGTGTACCTGTGTGTGTGTCTGAGTGACTCTGGGTGTATGTGTGTACCTGTGTGTCTCAGTGACTCTGGGTGTGTGTGTGTGTACCTGTGTGTGTGTCTGAGTGACTCTGGTGTGTGAGTGTGTACCTGTGTGTGTGTCTGAGTGACTCTGGGTGTGTGTGTACCTGTGTGTGTGTCTGAGTGACTCTGGGTGTGTGTGTGTACCTGTGTGTGTGTCTGAGTGACTCTGGGTGTGTGTGTGTACCTGTGTGTGTGTCTGAGTAACTCTGGGTGTATGTGTGTACCTGTGTGTCTCAGTGACTCTGAGGGTGTGTGTGTGTACCTGTGTGTGTGTCTGAGTGACTCTGGGGGTGTGTGTGTACCTGTGTGTGTGTCTGAGTGACTCTGGGTGTGTGAGTGTGTACCTGTGTGTGTGTCTGAGTGACTCTGGTGTGTGTGTGTACCTGTGTGTGTGTCTGAGTGACTCTGGGTGTATGTGTGTACCTGTGTGTCTCAGTGACTCTGGGTGTGTGTGTGTGTACCTGTGTGTGTGTCTGAGTGACTCTGGTGTGTGAGTGTGTACATGTGTGTGTGTCTGAGTGACTCTGGGTGTGTGTGTACCTGTGTGTGTGTCTGAGTGACTCTGGGTGTGTGTGTGTACCTGTGTGTGTGTCTGAGTGACTCTGGGTGTGTGTGTGTACCTGTGTGTGTGTCTGAGTGACTCTGGGTGTGTGTGTGTACCTGTGTGTCTCAGTGACTCTGGGTGTGTGTGTGTACCTGTGTGTGTGTCTGAGTGACTCTGGGTGTATGTGTGTACCTGTGTGTCTCAGTGACTCTGAGGGTGTGTGTGTGTACCTGTGTGTGTGTCTGAGTGACTCTGGGGGTGTGTGTGTACCTGTGTGTGTGTCTGAGTGACTCTGGGTGTGTGAGTGTGTACCTGTGTGTGTGTCTGAGTGACTCTGGTGTGTGTGTGTACCTGTGTGTGTGTCTGAGTGACTCTGGGTGTATGTGTGTACCTGTGTGTCTCAGTGACTCTGGGTGTGTGTGTGTGTACCTGTGTGTGTGTCTGAGTGACTCTGGTGTGTGAGTGTGTACCTGTGTGTGTGTCTGAGTGACTCTGGGTGTGTGTGTGTGTACCTGTGTGTGTGTCTGAGTGACTCTGGGTGTGTGAGTGTGTACCTGTGTGTGTCTGAGTGACTCTGGGGGTGTGTGTGTGTACCTGTGTGTGTGTCTGAGTGACTCTGGGTGTGTGTGTGTACCTGTGTGTGTGTCTGAGTGACTCTGGTGTGTGAGTGTGTACCTGTGTGTGTGTGAGTGACTCTGGTGTGTGAGTGTGTACCTGTGTGTGTGTCTGAGTGACTCTGGGGGTGTGTGTGTGTACCTGTGTGTGTGTCTGAGTGACTCTGGTGTGTGAGTGTGTACCTGTGTGTGTGTCTGAGTGACTCTGGGTGTGTGAGTGTGTACCTGTGTGTGTGTGAGTGACTCTGGTGTGTGAGTGTGTACCTGTGTGTGTGTCTGAGTGACTCTGGGTGTGTGTGTGTGTACCTGTGTGTGTGTCTGAGTGACTCTGGTGTGTGAGTGTGTACCTGTGTGTGTGTCTGAGTGACTCTGGGTGTGTGAGTGTGTACCTGTGTGTGTCTGAGTGACTCTGGGGGTGTGTGTGTACCTGTGTGTGTGTCTGAGTGACTCTGGGTGTGTGTGTGTACCTGTGTGTGTGTCTGAGTGACTCTGGTGTGTGAGTGTGTACCTGTGTGTGTGTGTGAGTGACTCTGGGGGTGTGTGTGTGTACCTGTGTGTGTGTCTGAGTGACTCTGGTGTGTGAGTGTGTACCTGTGTGTGTGTGAGTGACTCTGGTGTGTGAGTGTGTACCTGTGTGTGTGTCTGAGTGACTCTGGGTGTGTGAGTGTGTACCTGTGTGTGTCTGAGTGACTCTGGGTGTGTGTGTACCTGTGTGTGTGTCTGAGTGACTCTGGGTGTGTGTGTGTACCTGTGTGTGTGTCTGAGTGACTCTGGGTGTGTGTGTGTACCTGTGTGTGTGTCTCAGTGACTCTGGGGGTGTGTGTGTGTACCTGTGTGTGTGTCTGAGTGACTCTGGTGTGTGAGTGTGTACCTGTGTGTGTCTGAGTGACTCTGGGGGTGTGTGTGTACCTGTGTGTGTGTCTGAGTGACTCTGGGTGTGTGTGTGTACCTGTGTGTGTGTCTCAGTGACTCTGGGTGTGTGTGTGTACCTGTGTGTGTGTCTGAGTGACTCTGGGTGTGTGTGTGTACCTGTTTGTGTGTCTGAGTGACTCTGGGTGTATGTGTGTACCTATGTGTCTCAGTGACTCTGGGTGTGTGTGTGTACCTGTGTGTGTGTCTGAGTGACTCTGGCGGTGTGTGTGTGTACCTGTGTGTGTGTCTGAGTGACTCTGGGTGTATGTGTGTACCTGTGTGTGTGTCTGAGTGACTCTGGGTGTGTGTGTGTACCTGTGTGTGTGTCTGAGTGACTCTGGGTGTGTGTGTGTACCTGTGTGTCTCAGTGACTCTGGGTGTGTGTGTGTACCTGTGTGTGTGTGTGAGTGACTCTGGTGTGTG